TATGAGAGGACTTCAGGACAGAGACCTGAGACCAGGACTAATATGAGAGGACTTCAGGACAGAGACCTGAGACCAGGACTAATGTGAGAGGACTTCAGGACAGAGACCTGAGACCAGGACTAATGTGAGAGGACTTCAGGACAGAGACCTGAGACCAGGACTAATGTGAAAGGACTTCAGGACAGAGACCTGAGACCAGGACTAATGTGAGAGGACTTCAGGACAGAGACCTGAGACCAGGACTAATATGAGAGGACTTCAGGACAGAGACCTGAGACCAGGACTAATGTGAGAGGACTTCAGGACAGAGACCTGAGACCAGGACTAATGTGAAAGGACTTCAGGACAGAGACCTGAGACCAGGACTAATGTGAGAGGACTTCAGGACAGAGACCTGAGACCAGGACTAATGTGAGAGGACTTCAGGACAGAGACTTGAGACCAGGACTAATGTGAGAGGACTTCAGGACAGAGACCTGAGACCAGGACTAATGTGAGAGGACTTCAGGACAGAGACTTGAGACCAGGACTAATGTGAGAGGACTTCAGGACAGAGACCTGAGACCAGGACTAATGTGAGAGGACTTCAGGACAGAGACCTGAGACCAGGACTAATATGAGAGGACTGCAGGACAGAGACCTGAGACCAGGACTAACGTGAGAGGACTTCAGGACAGAGACCTGAGACCAGGACTAATGTGAGAGGACTTCAGGACAGAGACCTGAGACCAGGACTAATGTGAGAGGACTTCAGGACAGAGACTTGAGACCAGGACTAATGTGAGAGGACTTCAGGACAGAGACCTGAGACCAGGACTAATGTGAGAGGACTTCAGGACAGAGACTTGAGACCAGGACTAATGTGAGAGGACTTCAGGACAGAGACCTGAGACCAGGACTAATGTGAGAGGACTTCAGGACAGAGACCTGAGACCAGGACTAATATGAGAGGACTGCAGGACAGAGACCTGAGACCAGGACTAACGTGAGAGGACTTCAGGACAGAGACCTGAGACCAGGACTAATGTGAGAGGACTTCAGGACAGAGACCTGAGACCAGGACTAATGTGAGAGGACTTCAGAACAGAGACTTGAAACCAGGACTAATGTGAGAGGACTTCAGGACAGAGACCTGAGACCAGGACTAATGTGAGAGGACTTCAGGACAGAGACCTGAGACCAGGACTAATATGAGAGGACTTCAGGACAGAGACCTGAGACCAGGACTAATGTGAGAGGACTTCAGGACAGAGACCTGAGACCAGGACTAATGTGAGAGGACTTCAGGACAGAGACCTGAGACCAGGACTAATGTGAGAGGACTTCAGGACAGAGACCTGAGACCAGGACTAATGTGAGAGGACTTCAGGACAGAGACCTGAGACCAGGACTAATGTGAGAGGACTTCAGGACAGAGACTTGAGACCAGGACTAATATGAGAGGACTTCAGGACAGAGACCTGAGACCAGGAGTAATGTGAGAGGACTTCAGGACAGAGACTTGAGACCAGGACTAATGTGAGAGGACTTCAGGACAGAGACCTGAGACCAGGACTAATGTGAGAGGACTTCAGGACAGAGACCTGAGACCAGGACTAATGTGAGAGGACTTCAGGACAGAGACCTGAGACCAGGACTAATGTGAGAGGACTTCAGGACAGAGACCTGAGACCAGGACTAATGTGAAAGGACTTCAGGACAGAGACCTGAGACCAGAACTAATGTGAGAGGACTTCAGGACAGAGACCTGAGACCAGGACTAATGTGAGAGGACTTCAGGACAGAGACCTGAGACCAGGACTAATGTGAGAGGACTTCAGGACAGAGACCTGAGACCAGGACTGATGTGAGAGGACTTCAGGACAGAGACCTGAGACCAGGACTAATGTGAGAGGACTTCAGGAGAGAGACCTGAGACCAGGACTCTCTCCTGAAGGTCCTGGGTTCGAATCCCGGCCAGACTAGGGCCTTTCTGAGTGGAGTTTGCATGTTCTCCCCGTGTCTGCGTAGGTTTCCTCCGGGTACTCCGGTTTCCCCTACCACTAAAAACATGCACAATAGGTCTGGCATGCGCCTCCTGTACTGGCGACTCTGCTCCCATCTCTGTGTGGAGTGAGAGACAAATGCCCAAAAATAATAACAATTGTAAACCGCTTTGAGACTCTGGTCTGTGAAAGGCGCTATATAAATAAAGATTACTTACTTACTTAATGTGAGAGGACTTCAGGACAGAGACCTGAGACAAGGACTAATGTGAGAGGACTTCAGGACAGAGACCTGAGACCAGGACTAATGTGAGAGGACTTCAGGACAGAGACCTGAGACCAGGACTAATGTGAGAGGACTTCAGGACAGAGACCTGAGACCAGGACTAATGTGAGAGGACTTCAGGACAGAGACCTGAGACCAGGACTAATGTGATTCTAACAATGTAAGCTCTAAAGTCAGATTATTTTTGGGTATTTTTCCAGTAAACTCTTGCACTTTACAAATAAGACTTTTCAGAAACTGATGATCTTCCTCAGTGCTGGATTTACTCACACTGACCAGTACCTGGCCTTTGATTCAAACCATCCGCTACAACACAAACTCGGGGTCATTAGAACGCTTCAACACCGAGCCCACCAGGTCCCCACAAGCTCGGAGGGAAAGAACAGAGAAACCAAACATGTTCAGAGAGCACTTTCCAGATGTGGCTACCCCAAGTGGTCTTTTACTAAAGCCCAAAGGACGAGAAAGGCCAGAGACACAGTCCAACAGACAGAAGAAAGCAGGAGAAGAGGGGTGTCCTTACCGTACCAGGCAACACAAAATCCCTGTGTATTTCAAACCTTTCAACACGTTAAGACAGAAATTAGTGCATCCCAAAGACAAAACACCCAGACACAAACAGAGCAATGTGGTGTATTCAATTAAATGTAGTGAAGAGGAGTGCACTGACCACTATATTGGAGAAACCAAACAAACTCTACAGAAACGACTTTACCAACATCGTAGAGAAAACTCTAGTGGGCCACAATCAGCTGTTCATCTCCACCTCAAGGCCTCCAACCACACGGTGGATGACACAGAGGTTAAAATTCTGGCTCGGGAGAAGAATTGGTTTGAGAGAGGGGTGAAAGAAGCCATTTTTGTGAGGAAACAAAAACCTTCTCTTAACAGAGGAGGAGGGTTAAGATTTGTTTTGCCTCGCATCTATGACGACATCCTAAAAACAACGCCCTAACTTGGGACAAGGTCAGTGACATGCTAATGAGTTAGGAGGGGTGAGACCTGCACTCCACTTGAGCATCCCAGCAGACAATAGGTCTGTGACATGCTAAGGAGTTAGGGTCGTTAGCCTCAGCAGGGTCGTTAGACCTGCTCCCTTCTACATCAAGCAGACCTGAGATTGTTTATGAGTTAGTATCAGGATTAGGGTGTGGCTAACCACACCCATAGGTTATAAATCTCCAACGCGCGGTCCGAGAATTCATTCCCTGAAGAAGTCCGCTAGTTTGAGGACGAAACGTCGGGAAAACTTGCTAAGAAGTACAGATGATGGGTGAGAAACCTTCCTTTGCTTTGACTAATCCCTGTACGACTGAGGGCTTACGCAAACTTCTCCAGATAGTTTACGAAAGTGTTTCTGTCGCTTGTACTGTCCACTGTTTGTATTTTACGTATAATGTTTCTGAAAGACGGCGACTCTACAGTAGAAATGGGCAGCATCTCTTCTACAACGTATGCCGCTACTAGTCTATTTATTTCAGTCTTTGAGGTTACCTGACAGCGTAACTCAAGTGGAGGTTGTTTACATCGTGTTGGTACTGTGCTGTCGGAGGCGGCGGCTTCACTGACATGCTCTTTAGCGACTAGCTTAATAGCTGAGTGTTGACGCTGCAAGTGTTTCAACTGGTTCGAGGTGGAGTTGGCTGCGGTGGACAATCGCTTGTTGCCCATGCAAACTTGCACTCCACCACAACGTTTTTATCTTTTTTACTCATATAGTTGAAATAGTGTGCATATCTCCACCGGTTAGACGAACTCCTCTCCTCTGGCTCTGCCATGTTGCTTTCTTTCCAAACAAACTCGCTCATGTGCTCAACGTGACGAAAGCACGCAGGCACGCACGCTGTGGTACTGCAGTTTTTCCCTGCTTTCCCGGTGCCGGCGCTAACGAAGTATTTAGGTAGTAACTGTAATATATTTAAACGTATTTCCATAGTAACGCGTTACACTACTGCGTTACTCAAATTGTAATTTCGTTACAGTAACGTGTTACACCCAACACTGCCCAGGAGAGACCAGAGAGAGACCAGAGAGACCCGGGAGAGACCAGAAAGAGATCAGAGACCAGAGACAGAGACCAGAGAGACCCGGGAGAGACCAGAGAGACCATAGAGAGAGACCAGATGGACCAGAGAGAGACCAGATGGACCCGGGAGAGACCAGAGAGAGATCAGAGACCAGAGACCAGAGAGACCCAGGAGAGACCAGAGAGAGACCAGAGAGACCAGAGAGAGACCAGAGAGAGACCAGAGAGAGACCAGAGAGAGACCGGAGAGACCCAGGAGAGACCAGAGAGAGACCAGAGAGAGACCAGAGAGACCAGAGAGAGACCAGAGAGAGACCGGAGAGAGACCGGAGAGAGACCAGAGAGAGACCGGAGAGACCCAGGAGAGACCAGAGAGAGACCAGAGAGAGATCAGAGAGAGACCAGAGAGACCAGAGAGAGACCAGAGAGAGACCGGAGAGCCCAGAGAGAGACCGGACTATTGTCTTTCACAATGGTCCTTTTAACTACCTGTAATCCTACACTGGTGCCGTGCCGGCTCATGGTAACCAGGAGACAGGAGCTCAGCCACAAAACAAAATCTGCTGATCATTCACTTCACACAAGGGAAAGACTCTGAGCTCCAGGTCTGGACCGTGTGAGAACCATGGAGAGACAACTGCAGGTCCTGAACCAGCGAGCGGCGCACCAGTGTACCATGAAGCTTCAGCTCCTCCTGGCACACTTACGGTTCTCCAGCAGGACCCTGCAGCAGCGGAGGCAGCTGTGGAGGAGACAGCAGCGCACTCTGGGAATCCTGCGGCTCTGTGAACCCAAGGCTGTCCTACACATTGCCATGGAGGATATACACCACCTACAGGCCAGACAGCGACCAGAGGGAGACCAGAAGGAGAGACCAGAGGGAGACCAGAAGGAGAGACCAGAGGGAGCCCAGAGGGAGAGACCAGAGGGAGCCCAGAGGGAGAGACCAGAGAGAGCCCAGAGGGAGAGACCAGAGGGAGCCCAGAGGGAGAGACCAGAGGGAGCCCAGAGGGAGAGACCAGAGGAAGTCCAGAGGGAGAGACCAGAGAGAGACCAAAGACCAGAGGGACACCAGAGACCAGAGGGAGACCAGAGACCAGAGAGAGACCAGAGAGAGCACAGAAGGAGAGGCCCTAAAGCCGTGGTGGACATGGACCTCACACGCGTGCAAACGGCTCACGGCTCCTTGAGGAACAGCAGGAACTCTGAGGGACTGGGAGCTCGGAGGTCAGTCTCTGCTCCGGGGGGAACCAGATGCAGAGAACCAGTGAGAACCAGAAGCAGAGAGCACAGCACCCTCTCTCTGGTGCAGATGAAGAACATCGCTCTCATCGACGTCATCTCGCAGAAGGAGATAGAGCTGAGGAGGCAGAGGAGGCTGGAAGAGCAGGAGGCGGCACGCAGGCACCACCAGGAGGCGCTGGAGAGCAGGGTACAGCAGTTTATACTGAGGCTCCAGGAGAGGCGGAAGGAGAAGGAGGCCAGAGAGACCGGAGAGAGACCAGAGAGAGACCAGAGAGAGACCAGAGAGACGAGAGAGAGACCAGAGAGGGAGCAGAGAGAGACCAGAGAGACACCAAAGACCAGAGGGACACCAGAGACCAGAGGGAGACCGGAGAGACGAGAGAGAGAGAGAGAGCAGAGAGAGACCAGAGAGAGACTAGAGAGAGACCAGACAGAGACCAGAGAGACACCAGAGAGAGACTAGAGACCAGAGAGAGACCAAAGAGAGACCAGAGAGAGACCAGAGAGAGACTAACTGAAGAACTGACGTAGAGACATTGGAGGATTCTTGTACTTCTGGTTGTTCCTTATGTGATATAAATATGACACATGGTTTTTGAGCATTAAAATTATGATGAGTTTATTTACGTTGTCATTTCATGCTTTAGAATGTGGAATAATGTGCAGTAGAAAATACATGTGAAACAAGTATCATGGGATATTAAAGACGCAAGCGGCATCGAAAGGCCCTGGCTTCATCTCACAATGGTGTCTCTCAACAGCTCTGATGGAAGAAACTGATGTTGTTAATATTGTAACAGATATATATATGGAGTATAGTCTCCATTTCTGGTCTCTTTCTATTGGTTCTCTCTCTGGTAAGGGGGAAGAGGAGAGAGAGAAGAGAGAGAGAGAGAGGGAGGAGGGAGAGAAGAGGAAGAGGGAGAGGAGAGAGAGGAGGGAGAGGAGAGAGAGAAGAGGGAGAGAGAGAGAGGAGAGAGAGAGAGAGAGAGGAGAGAGGAGAGAGAGAAGAGGGAGAGAGAGAGGAGAGAGAGAGGGGAGAGAGGAGAGGAGAGAGAGAGGGAGAGAGAGGAGAGAGAGAGTAGAGAAGGAGGAGGGAGAGAAGAGGAAGAGAGGAGAGAGAGGAGGGAGAGGAGAAGAAGAGGGAGAGGAGAGAGAGGAGAGAGAGAGCGAGGAGAGAGAGAGGACAGAGAGAGAGAGGACAGAGAGAGAGGAGAGAGGACAGAGGAGAGAGAGAGAGGAGAGAGAAGAGAGAGAGAGAGAGAGAGAGGAGAGAGAGAGGAGAGAGGAGAGAGAGAGAGAGAGAGGAGAGAGAGAGAGAGGAGAGGAGAGAGAGGACAGAGGAGAGAGAAGAAAGAGGAGAGATTTTTTTTTTGATTTTTAACAAACCTTTATTTGTCCATTAAACAGGTTAAATTACATCACATCTTACACATTGTAATGTATAGGAAAAAACATAGTTTAAAAAACCGGACATAAAAGTGCAAAACGTGCAAATACTGGCAATAAATAAACAATGCAACACTTCACACACTTCAGTTCATAGGTTTACAACGATAAAAAGGCAGAAAAAAACAGCTCCCCCTCCCTCACAGAGCACACCTCCCTGAACCCCCAGCGCTCCTCAAACCCCTCCTGATCCCCATTTATCCTGTAGAGACCGAACTCCAGCCTGAGTCTGGCCTGGACCATCCGGACCAGCAGAGCCCTGGGACTGATCTCACTCTGGTCCTGGACCATCCTCCTCCTGCTCACATAGACGGCCATCTTGGCCTGACCGACGAGGAAACTGAGCAGCCGCCCCCTCCTCCTGCTGCAACTGGAGTACCTGACCCCCCCCCACAAACACCTGAGCATTAAACTCTGCCCCCAGTGAAGTGAAGAGGCCCCTCAGCAGCTCCAGCATGTGCCTGAGCCTCCCACACTCCCAGAAGCAGTGAACACTGTCTCCCTCTCCCCACAGAAGGGACAGCCCTCCCCCACAGCCCTGTTCACCCTACACACAAAGGCATTGACTGCTATCGCCCCATGCAGCAGCCTCCACTGCAGGTCTCCCTGTCTCTTGGTCAGAGGGGGCTTGTACAGGGCCCCCCAGGCCGGGCTGAAGGCGGGGCCCAGGTGTGACCTCCACACAGTGTCTGCTCGGTCACACAGTCTCTGGTGGTTCAAGGCCTGGACCATGAGGCTGTAAAAAGTCTTCCCTGAAGCAGCCTCCAGAGAGGCAGCTACTGGACTGGCCAGCAGGGGCCCAGAGGAGGAGCCCAGGTCCGGGCTGAGGATGAGACTGGGGAAGGGGTCAGTGGGGTCAGGGGTCAGTGAGCCTGAACTGTGTCCCTCTAACAGAGTCCAGTCCTCCTCTGTCAGACCCTCTCTCCAGAAACACAGGAGACGCTCCAGGGTCCGACCCGGCCTCAGGCCCAGGTGGACTCCCAGGGCCTTCCAGTCCTCCAGCTGAGGACCACTGACATTGTGGAGCTGCTGCACCGAGACTACCCCCCCCAAACTGAAACGGCCCCGCAGCACAGGCCCCGCCCAGAAGAGAGGAGAAGAGAGAGAGAGGAGAGAGAGAGAACAGAGGAGAGAGAGGAGAGAGAGAGAAGAGAGTAGAGAGAGGAGAGAGAGAGAGAACAGAAGAGAGAAAGAAGAGAGAAGAGAGAGAGGAGAGAGAAGAGAGAGGAGAGAGAGAGAGAGAGAGAGAGAGAAGAGAGTAGAGAGAGAGAGAGGAGAGAGAGAGAACAGAGGAGAGAAAGAAGAGAGAAGAGAGAGGAGAGAGAAGAGAGAGGAGAGAGAGGGAGAGAGAAGAGAGAGAGGAGAGAGGGAGAGAGAAGAGAGAGAAGAGAGAGGAGAGAGAGGAGAGAGAGGAGAGACAGGAGAGGAGAGAGGAGAGAGAACAGATGAGAGAGAGGAGAGAGAGAGAGAAGAGAGGAGAGAGAGAGAGAGGAGAGAGAACAGAGAGAGAGGAGAGAGAGAGAGAGAGAGAGGAGAGAGAGAGAGAACAGAGGAGAGAGAGAAGAGAGTAGAGAGAGAGAGAGAGAGAGAGAGAGAGAGAAGAGAGGAGAGAAAAAGAGAGAGAGAGAGGAGAGAGAGAGAGGGAGAGAGAGAGAGAGAGGAGAGAGAAGAGAGAGAGAGGAGAGAGAGAGAGAGGAGAGAGAGAGAGAGAGAGAGAGAGAGAGAGAGGAGAGAGAGAACAGAGGAGAGAGGAGAGAGGAGAGAGAGAAGAGAGTAGAGAGAGAGAACAGAGGAGAGAAAGAAGAGAGGAGAGAGGACAGAGGAGAGAGGAGAGAGAGAGGGAGAGAGAGAGAGAGGAGAGAGAGAGAGAGAGGAGAGAGAAGAGAGAGGAGAGAGAGGAGAGAGAAGAGAGAGAGGAGAGAGAAGAGAGAGGAGAGAGAGAGAGAGGGAGAGAGGAGACAATGAAAAAAGTAGTTTTTTTTAAGTTATTTTCCAGTTTATTAAAATCTTTGAAAGAAAAACAATATAATAAAAATGATGATGGCTGTAACAGGAGGAACCAGGAAGAAGGAAGTCCACCTGGTCCTCCTGGTTCTACAGTAGAGCCTGTCACACCTGGTCCTCCTGGTTCTACAGTAGAGCCTGTCACACATGGTCCTCCTAGTTGCTGGTTCCACAGTAGACCCTGTCACACCTGGTCCTCCTGGTTCCACAGTAGACCCTGTTACACCTGGTCCTCCTGGTTCTACAGTAGACCCTGTCACACCTGGTCCTCCTGGTTCTACAGTAGACCCTGTCACACCTGGTCCTCCTGGTTGCTGGTTCCACAGTAGACCCTGTCACACCTGGTCCTCCTGGTTGCTGGTTCCACAGTAGACCCTGTCACATCTGGTCCTCCTGGTTCTACAGTAGACCCTGTCACACCTGGTCCTCCTGGTTGCTGGTTCTACAGTAGACCCTGTCACACCTGGTCCTCCTTCTACAGGATGTGTCCAGTTTTCCTCAGGACGCCCAGAGCCTCGTGAAGCGGAGAATTCTGGATCAGAGATTTGTTCTTCTGCCACTGGGGGGCGCTACTGAGGTCCTGCTCTGGACAAGAATAACACATGTTTAAAGCTCAGGTCTGTAACTTTAGTCTAAATAACACATGTTTAAAGCTCAGGTCTGTAACTTTAGAATAACACATGTTTAAAGCTCAGGTCTGTAACTTTAGTCTGAATAACACATGTTTAAAGCTCAGGTCTGTAACTTTAGTCTGAATAACACATGTTTAAAGCTCAGGTCTGTAACTGTCTAAATAACACATGTTTAAAGCTCAGGTAACACCACATGTTTAAAGCTCAGGTCTGTAACTTTAGTCTGAATAACACATGTTTAAAGCTCAGTCTGTAACTTTAGTCTGTAACACATGTTTAAAGCTCAGTCTGTAACTTTAGTCTGAATAACACATGTTTAAAGCTCAGGTCTGTAACTTTAGTCTGAATAACACATGTTTAAAGCTCAGGTCTGTAACTTTAGTCTGAATAACACATGTTTAAAGCTCAGGTCTGTAACTTTAGTCTGAATAACACATGTTTAAAGCTCAGGTCTGTAACTTTAGTCTGAATAACACATGTTTAAAGCTCAGGTCTGTAACTTTAGTCTCATAAATAAGAGCTTTAAAGTCACACATAGACATGTGTGATAATAATGTGAGTGATACACAACACTCAAAACTTGAGATTAGAGCCATCTCTTGTACAGAGGTGACGTCACCTCAACTCAAACAGACTGATCCAGAGTCTGTTTATCCGGGTGTGAGCCCGCCTCCCCCCGCCCTCACCCGCCTCCCCCCGCCCGCACGGTGACGTAGCATTACGCTCTGAGTTGTTTATCCCCAGTACATAGTCATTTCAGACCTGAAAATAAACTTTTTCTCAACAAGGACAATCTGTAACATCGAGCCCTATGTCCTCGAGGCACAATCAGACCCTAATTATTTACTTTACAGAAGTATCACTGTACTCACAGATGGAGGTTTGTGTTAGTATCACTGTACTCACAGATGGGGGTCTGTGTTAGTATCACTGTACTCACAGATGGGGGTCTGTGTTAGTATCACTGTACTCACAGATGGGGGTCTGTGTTAGTATCACTGTACTCACAGATGGGGGTCTGTGTTAGTATCACTGTACTCACAGATGGGGGTCTGTGTTAGTATCACTGTACTCACAGATGGGGGTCCGTGTTAGTATCACTGTACTCACAGATGGGGGTCCGTGTTACGTCTTTTATCGTGGGAATAACACATGTTTCCAGATCAGATTTTGAGTAAGTCCAGTTCCATTGTCCCTGTAGTTCTGGAACATTCTCAGTGAAGTGTCGCAGATGAACCGGTATTATAATAGATCCATGAGATGAAAAGATGAAAGAAGTCGAGCCACTTTCTTCCTCTTAGGGCCAAATAGTGTGTCACATATTTACACCCATAACACATTTCATCCAAGTTGACGTGATCCAAACACTTTCGGTCGCTGACAAAAGCAGAAAAACAGCAGCTCTATGTGGTGTCCGCAGGACCAAACCACAGACTCGGGAGCTGGCTGCGTGCTCTGATTCGCTGTCACCTCCAGGCTTCTACTATTTTTTTTCTTTTTTTACAACAAACAGCATACTTATCGTGTATTGTTTACCCTGTTTTGACATAAGTATTTAAAAACCATTTTAAAACTAAGAAAACGGGCGTATGTGCGTCATATTGGTCATCAGAGTGGTAATCGTCACTGAAGTGGACCCGAGCGTTTCTCTGCCTCTCGAGCCTGAAGGAGACCGACGCTGTCTAACTGAAGATTGACAGAATCAATGGATAAACTACTCAGGGCAAATAGCACTGTCATCATGTTTAAAGCAGAGAAAAGTCAAAAAGCAAAATATGGGTCCTTTAAAGCCCCAGACCCCAGCTTTAAAGTCACAGACCCCAGCTTTAAAGTCACAGACCCCAGCTTTAAAGTCACAGACCCCAGCTTTAAAGCCCCAGACCCCAGCTTTAAAGTCACAGACCCCAGCTTTAAAGTCACAGACCCCAGCTTTAAAGTCACAGACCCCAGCTCATTTCATTTAATTTTCAACCCCTTTATTTGTCCATTTCTGGGTCGAGGGGGTGGCAATAAGAGCTGCCACCCATTGCTCATAGCACCAGTCCCTCGCTGATCTTCTGCAGGTGGTGAGTCCACAGGAAGATGGCTGCTCCATCAGTTGAGAAACCGCCTTGATCTTTCAGTGGGGGCTTCAGGCAACGTGGGGTTAAGTGTCTTGCCCAAGGACACAACGACAGCAGTCATCAGTGGGAGCAGTTGGAGTAGGTCCCATGGTGGGAATCGAACTCACGACCTCCAGGCCCAAAGGCCAATGCTCTACCAACTGAGCTACTGTCGCTACAGACCCCAGCTTTAAAGTCCCAGACCCCAGCTTTAAAGTCACAGACCCCAGCTTTAAAGTCACAGACCCCAGCTTTAAAGTCCCAGACCCCAGCTTTAAAGCCACAGACCCCAGCTTTAAAGTCCCAGACCCCAGCTTTAAAGTCACAGACCCCAGCTTTAAAGTCACAGACCCCAGCTTTAAAGTCGGTCCCAGCTCTAGCCCTTTACCTTCACACTGCAGACAGACCCTGGTGGGCAGACTGCGGCTCAGTTCTCCGTACTCCAGAGAACACAACACAGACGCCTTCAGTGAGGCCTCAGTGAAGACCAGGACCAGAACCGAGACCAGAGGGTTGGACTCCAGGACCTGGACCCAACCCAGACCCTGAGGGAGGAGAAAGAGGGTGAGACTAGGACCTGGACTGAGACCAGAGGGTTGGACTCCAGGACCTGGCCCCATCCCAGACCCTGAGGGCGGAGAGAAAGGATGAGACCAGGACCTGGACCCAACCCAGACCCTGAGGGAGGAGAGAGAGGGTGAGACCAGGAGCTGGACTGAGACCAGATCCTGAGAGGGGAGAGAGGGTGAGACCAGGACCTGGACCGAGACCAGACCCTGAAGGGGGAGAGAGGCTGAGACCAGGACCAGGATTGAGACCAGGACCCGGTCCTGGGTGGCTCTCTCACCTGGTACCTCCCTCTCACCTGGTCCTCCTCTCACTTGGTTTCTCCCTCTCACCTGGTTCCTCCCTCTCACCTGTACATCCTCAGCTGCCCCCTCCTGGAAGTGAAAGCGTGTAGGTACAGACTCAGCGTGTCTCTCACCTGGATCCTCCCTCTCACCTGGTACCTCCCTCTCACCTGGTACCTCCCTCTCACCTGGTTCCTCCCTCTCACCTGGTTCCTCCCTCTCACCTGTACCCTCCTCAGCTGCCCCCTCCTGGAAGTGAAAGCGTGTAGGTGCAGGCTCAGCGTGTCTCTCACCTGGTACCTCCCTCTCACCTGGTCCTTCTCTCACCTGGTTCCTCCCTCTCACCTGGTACCTCCCTCTCACCTGGTTCCTCCCTCTCACCTGGTTCCTCCCTCTCACCTGGTACCTCCCTCTCACCTGGTTCCTCCCTCTCACCTGGTTCCTCCCTCTCACCTGGTTCCTCCCTCTCACCTGGTTCCTCCCTCTCACCTGGTTCCTCCCTCTCACCTGCACGATCCTCAGCTGCCCCCTCCTGGAGGTGAAAGCGTGTAGGTGCCGACTCAGCGTGTCAAAGGCGCGCTGCACGTCTCGCAGCTCGGTCTCGCCACACAGACGCTCCACGGCGATGAACGGCGGCAGGTTGTGCCGAAGCAGCCGCAGCGACGGCCTCACGCTCAGCTCCACATGGTACGTCTCCATCATGGTTCCCTCAAACACCATGGGGAATGAGAAGCACAGACACTTGTCCTTGTTCGTCTGACGCACGTCATAGCCTCCTGTGAAAAGAGGGAGGGGCGAGAGAGAGAGGAGGGAGAGAGAGGAGGGAGGGGGAGGGAGGGAGAGAGAGGAGGGAAAGAAAGGAGAGAGAGGAGGGAGAGAGAGGAGGAGAGAGGAGGGAGGGGGGAGAGAGAGGGAGGGAGGAGGCAGAAGAGGAAAAGAGGAGGGAGGGGGGAGAGAGAGGAGGGAGAGAGGGAGGGGGGAGAGAGAGGAGGGAGGGAGAGGAGGAAGGGGGGAGGGAGAGGAGGGAGGGAGAGGAGAGAGAGGGGAGAGAGAGGAGGGAGAGAAAGGAGGGAGGGGGGAGAGAGTAGGGGGAGAGGAGCGAGACAGGAGGGAGTGGGGGGAGAGAGAGGAGAGAGGGGAAGAGTGAGGGGAGAGAGGAGGGAGGAGGGAGGAGGGAAAGGGGGGAGAGAGGGGAGGGAGGGGGAGCGAGAGGGAGAGAAATCAAATATTACAAAGGTTTATTGGAGTATGAGACGACTTACCCAGCAGGTGGTGAGCTAACAGGTTTATTGGAGTATGAGACGACTTACCCAGCAGGTGGTGAGCTAACAGAACGTCTCGCAGCTGCGTCTGCTTCAGCATCAGCTTCAGGAGCTTGTCTTCCTCACACTCAGCTCCTGTCTCTTCATCGTTCTCCAGAGACGACCGCAGCCTCTGCACAGTCTGAAGACACATGAAGACCAGGGGTAAGACCAGGGGTAAGACCAGGGTAAGACCAGGGGTAAGACCAGGGGTAAGACCAGGGGTAAGACCAGGGTAAGACCAGGGTAAGACCAGGGGTAAGACCAGGGGTAAGACCAGGGGTAAGACCAGGGTAAGACCAGGGGTAAGACCAGGGGTAAGACCAGGGTAAGACCAGGGTAAGACCAGGGGTAAGACCAGGGGTAAGACCAGGGGTAAGACCAGGGTAAGACCAGGGTAAGACCAGGGGTAAGACCAGGGGTAAGACCAGGGGTAAGACACGGACCGGGATTGGGACAAGGACCAGAACCAAGATTGGGACCAGGTTTCTTAGTCTAAAGCAGGGTGTCACCTGGTCCTCAAAGGGCAGGTGTGGCTGCAGGTTTTCATTCCAACAGCAGGAGCACAGACTCCACCCATTTCCTCAGGTCTTCAGGTTCAGACTGGACTCAGTCTGGTGTGCTCCTGGTGTTGAGGACCAGGTGACACTCATAAAGCCTCTGGGACACACCTGGTGTCTCTAAAGCCTCTGTGTCCCACCTGGTGTCTCTAAAGCCTCTGTGTCCCACCTGGTGTCTCTGAAGCCTTTGTGTCCCACCTGGTGTCTCCAAAGCCCTAAAGCCTCTGTGTCCCACTTGGTGTCTCTAAAGCCTCTGTGTCCCACCTGGTGTCTCTAAAGCCTCTGTGTCCCACCTGGTGTCTCTAAAGCCTCTGTGTCCCACCTGGTGTCTCTAAAGCCTCTGTGTCCCACCTGGTGTCTCTGTGTCTTATAATCAACAACTCATTTGATATGTTTCAGTCCGGCTTTAGACCCCACCACAGCACTGAGACTGCTCTCGTTAAGGTTACAAACGATATCCGGCTGAACACTGACGCAGGCAAAGTCTCAATCTTAATCTTGTTAGATCTGAGTGCTGCCTTTGACACTGTCGACCATGAGATCCTCTTACAGAGACTAGAGGACTGAGTTGGCGTCGCTGGCACCGCCCTAAGTTGGTTTAGGTCTTACCTTGAAGACAGGAAGTACTTTGTGGAGATTGGAAACTGTGTCTCAGATCATATGGCCCTGACCTGTGGAGTCCCACAGGGGTCGATCCTGGGACCTCTTCTGTGAGTCAATCTCTACATGCTGCCGTTAGGTCAGTTAATACGCAGAAACAAAGTGTCCTATCACAACTATGCAGACGACACTCAGATCTATGTCTCACTGACTGCAGGAGAACATGGACCAGTGGACTCACTCCTTCACTGTATCCAACAGATCAGTGAGTGGATGCAAAACAACTTCCTTCAGAGTTAGAGTCCGAGTTAGAGTCAGAGTTAGAGTCCGAGTTAGAGTCCGAGTTAGAGTCCGAGTTAGAGTCCGAGTTAGAGTCCGAGTTAGAGTCCGAGTTGGAGCTGAGTTAGAGTCTGAGTTAGAGTCCAAGTTAGAGTCAAAGTTAGAGTCCGAGTTAGAGTCCGAGTTAGAGTCCGAGTTAGAGCTGAGTTAGAGTCCGAGTTAGAGTCAGAGTTAGAGTCCGAGTTGGAGCTGAGGTAGAGTCTGAGTTAGAGTCTGAGTTAGAGTCTGAGTTAGAGCTGAGTTAGAGTATGAGTTAGAGCTGAGTTAGAGTCCGAGTTAGAGTTTGACTTAGAGTCTGAGTCATAGTCAGAGCTGAGTTAGAGTCTGAGTTAGAGTCCAAGTTAGAGTCAAAGTTAGAGTCCGAGTTAGAGTCCGAGTTAGAGTCCGAGTTAGAGTCCGAGTTAGAGTCCGAGTTAGAGTCCGAGTTGGAGCTGAGTTAGAGTCTGAGTTAGAGTCTGAGTTAGAGCTGAGTTTGAGTCCGAGTTAGAGTCTGACTTAGAGTCTGAGTCATAGTCTGAGTCAGAGCTGAGTTAGAGTCTGAGTTAGAGCTGAGTTAGAGTCTGAGTTAGAATTAGAGCTGAGTTAGAGTCTGAGTTAGAGTCCAAGTTAGAGTCAAAGTTAGAGTCCGAGTTAGAGTCCGAGTTAGAGTCAAAATTAGAGTCCGAGTTAGAGTCCAAGTTAGAGTCTGAGTTAGAGTCTGAGTTAGAGCTGAGTTAGAGTCCGAGTTAGAGTCAGAGTTAGAGTCCGAGTTGGAGCTGAGTTAGAGTCTGAGTTAGAGTCTGAGTTAGAGCTGAGTTAGAGTCTGAGTTAGAGTCTGAGTTAGAGCTGAGTTAGAGTCCGAGTTAGAGTTTGACTTAGAGTCTGAGTCATAGTCAGAGCTGAGTTAGAGTCTGAGTTAGAGTCTGAGTTTAGTGAGCTGGTAGAGTTAGAGTCGAGTTAGAGTCCGAGTTAGAGCTGAGTTAGAGTTAGAGCTGAGTTAGAGTCTGAGTTAGAGTCCAAGTTAGAGTCAAAGTTAGAGTCAGAGTTAGAGTCCGAGTTAGAGTCCGAGTTAGAGTCCGAGTTAGAGTCAAAGTTAGAGTCCGAGTTAGAGTCTGAGTTAGAGCTGAGTTAGAGTCCGAGTTAGAGTCAGAGTTAGAGTCAGAGTTAGAGTCCGAGTTGGAGCTGAGTTAGAGTCTGAGTTAGAGTCTGAGTTAGAGCTGAGTTAGAGTCTGAGTTAGAGTCTGAGTTAGAGCTGAGTTAGAGTCTGAGTTAGAGATGAGTTAGAGTCTGAGTTAGAGTCTGAGTCATAGTCAGAGCTGAGTTAGAGTCTGAGTTAGAGTCCAAGTTAGAGTCAAAGTTAGAGTCCGATGTTTTAGAGTCCGAGTTAGAGTCTGAGTTAGAGTCTGAGTTAGAGTCCGAGTTAGAGTCCGAGTTAGAGTCCGAGTTGGAGCTGAGTTAGAGTTCGAGTTAGAGTCTGAGTTAGAGCTGAGTTAGAGTCTGAGTTAGAGTCTGAGTTAGAGCTGAGTTTGAGTCCGAGTTAGAGTCTGACTTAGAGTCTGAGTCATAGTCTGAGTCAGAGCTGAGTTAGAGTCTGAGTTAGAGCTGAGTTAGAGTCTGAGTTAGAGCCTGAGTTAGAGTCCGAGTTAGAGTCCGAGTTAGAGTCCGAGTTAGAGTCCGAGTTAGAGTCTGAGTTAGAGTCTGAGTTAGAGTCCGAGTTAGAGTCCGAGTTAGAGTCCGAGTTAGAGTCCGAGTTAGAGTCCGAGTTAGAGTCCGAGTTAGAGTCCGAGTTAGAGTCCGAGTTAGAGTCCGAGTTAGAGTCCGAGTTAGAGTCCGAGTTAGAGTCCGAGTTAGAGTCCGAGTTGGAGCTGAGTTAGAGTCCAAGTTAGAGTCCAAGTTAGAGTCAAAGTTAGAGTCCGAGTTAGAGTCCGAGTTAGAGTCCGAGTTAGAGCTGAGTTAGAGTCCGAGTTAGAGTCAGAGTTAGAGTCCGAGTTGGAGCTGAGTTAGAGTCTGAGTTAGAGTCTGAGTTAGAGCTGAGTTAGAGTCTGAGTTAGAGTCTGAGTTAGAGCTGAGTTAGAGTATGAGTTAGAGCTGAGTTAGAGTCCGAGTTAGAGTCCGAGTTAGAGTTTGACTTAGAGTCTGAGTCATAGTCAGAGCTGAGTTAGAGTCCAAGTTAGAGTCAAAGTTAGAGTCCGAGTTAGAGTCCGAGTTAGAGTCCGAGTTAGAGTCCGAGTTAGAGTCCGAGTTAGAGTCCGAGTTGGAGCTGAGTTAGAGTCTGAGTTAGAGTCTGAGTTAGAGCTGAGTTTGAGTCCGAGTTAGAGTCTGACTTAGAGTCTGAGTCATAGTCTGAGTCAGAGCTGAGTTAGAGTCTGAGTTAGAGCTGAGTTAGAGTCTGAGTTAGAATTAGAGCTGAGTTAGAGTCTGAGTTAGAGTCCAAGTTAGAGTCAAAGTTAGAGTCCGAGTTAGAGTCCGAGTTAGAGTCAAAGTTAGAGTCCGAGTTAGAGTCTGAGTTAGAGTCTGAGTTAGAGCTGAGTTAGAGTCCGAGTTAGAGTCAGAGTTAGAGTCCGAGTTGGAGCTGAGTTAGAGTCTGAGTTAGAGTCTGAGTTAGAGTCTGAGTTAGAGTCTGAGTTAGAGTCTGAGTTAGAGCTGAGTTAGAGTCTGAGTTAGAGCTGAGTTAGAGTCTGAGTTAGAGCTGAGTTAGAGTCCGAGTTAGAGTTTGACTTAGAGTCTGAGTCATAGTCAGAGCTGAGTTAGAGTCTGAGTTAGAGTCCGAGTTAGAGTCCGAGTTAGAGTCCGAGTTAGAGTCCGAGTTAGAGTCTGAGTTAGAGTCCGAGTTGGAGCTGAGTTAGAGTCTGAGTTAGAGTCTGAGTTAGAGCTGAGTTTGAGTCCGAGTTAGAGTCTGACTTAGAGTCTGAGTCATAGTCTGAGTCAGAGCTGAGTTAGAGTCTGAGTTAGAGCTGAGTTAGAGTCTGAGTTAGAATTAGAGCTGAGTTAGAGTCTGAGTTAGAGTCCAAGTTAGAGTCAAAGTTAGAGTCCGAGTTAGAGTCAAAGTTAGAGTCCGAGTTAGAGTCCGAGTTAGAGTCTGAGTTAGAGTCTGAGTTAGAGCTGAGTTAGAGTCCGAGTTAGAGTCAGAGTTAGAGTCCGAGTTGGAGCTGAGTTAGAGTCTGAGTTAGAGTCTGAGTTAGAGTCTGAGTTAGAGTCTGAGTTAGAGTCTGAGTTAGAGCTGAGTTAGAGTCTGAGTTAGAGCTGAGTTAGAGTCTGAGTTAGAGCTGAGTTAGAGTCCGAGTTAGAGTTTGACTTAGAGTCTGAGTCATAGTCAGAGCTGAGTTAGAGTCCGAGTTAGAGTCCGAGTTAGAGTCCGAGTTAGAGTCCGAGTTAGAGTCCGAGTTAGAGTCCGAGTTAGAGTCTGAGTTAGAGTCTGAGTTAGAGTCCGAGTTGGAGCTGAGTTAGAGTCTGAGTTAGAGTCTGAGTTAGAGTCTGAGTTAGAGCTGAGTTAGAGTCCGAGTTAGAGCTGAGTTAGAGTTAGAGCTGAGTTAGAGTCTGAGTTAGAGCTGAGTTAGAGTTAGAGCTGAGTTAGAGTCTGAGTTAGAGCTGAGTTAGAGTCTGAGTTAGAGCTGAGTTAGAGTCCGAGTTAGAGTTTGACTTAGAGTCTGAGTCATAGTCAGAGCTGAGTTAGAGTCTGAGTTAGAGTCCGAGTTAGAGTCCGAGTTAGAGTCTGAGTTAGAGTCTGAGTTAGAGTCCGAGTTGGAGCTGAGTTAGAGTCTGAGTTAGAGTCTGAGTTAGAGTCTGAGTTAGAGCTGAGTTAGAGTCCGAGTTAGAGCTGAGTTAGAGTTAGAGCTGAGTTAGAGTCTGAGTTAGAGTCCAAGTTAGAGTCAAAGTTAGAGTCCGAGTTAGAGCTGAGTTAGAGTTAGAGCTGAGTTAGAGTCTGAGTTAGAGTCCAAGTTAGAGTCAAAGTTAGAGTCCGAGTTAGAGCTGAGTTAGAGTTAGAGCTGAGTTAGAGTCTGAGTTAGAGTCCGAGTTAGAGTCCGAGTTAGAGTCCGAGTTGGAGCTGAGTTAGAGTTCGAGTTAGAGTCTGAGTTAGAGCTGAGTTAGAGTCTGAGTTAGAGTCTGAGTTAGAGCTGAGTTAGAGTCTGAGTTAGAGCCTGAGTTAGAGCCTGAGTTAGAGTCCGAGTTAGAGTCCGAGTTAGAGTCCGAGTTAGAGTCCGAGTTAGAGTCCGAGTTAGAGTCCGAGTTAGAGTCCGAGTTAGAGTCCGAGTTAGAGTCCGAGTTAGAGTCCGAGTTAGAGTCCGAGTTAGAGTCCGAGTTAGAGTCCGAGTTAGAGTCCGAGTTAGAGTCCGAGTTTAGAGTCCGAGTTAGAGTCCGAGTTAGAGTCCGAGTTAGAGTCCGAGTTAGAGTCCGAGTTAGAGTCCGAGTTAGAGTCCGAGTTAGAGTCTGAGTTAGAGCTGAGTTAGAGTTCGAGTTAGAGTCTGAGTTAGAGCTGAGTTAGAGTCCGAGTTAGAGTCTGAGTTAGAGTCCGAGTTAGAGTCCGAGTTAGAGTCCGAGTTGGAGCTGAGTTAGAGTTCGAGTTAGAGTCTGAGTTAGAGCTGAGTTAGAGTCTGAGTTAGAGTCTGAGTTAGAGTCTGAGTTAGAGCTGAGTTTGAGTCCGAGTTAGAGTCTGACTTAGAGTCTGAGTCATAGTCTGAGTCAGAGCTGAGTTAGAGTCTGAGTTAGAGCTGAGTTAGAGTCTGAGTTAGAGCCTGAGTTAGAGCCTGAGTTAGAGTCCGAGTTAGAGTCCGAGTTAGAGTCCGAGTTAGAGTCCGAGTTAGAGTCCGAGTTAGAGTCCGAGTTAGAGTCCGAGTTAGAGTCCGAGTTAGAGTCCGAGTTAGAGTCCGAGTTAGAGTCCGAGTTAGAGTCCGAGTTAGAGTCCGAGTTAGAGTCCGAGTTAGAGCTGAGTTAGAGTCTTAGTTAGAGCCTGAGTTGGAGTCTGAGTTCTGAGTTAGAGCTGAGTTAGAGTCTGAGTTAGAGTCTGAGTTAGAGTCTGAGTTAGAGTCTGAGTTAGAGTCTGAGTTAGAGCTGAGTTAGAGTCTTAGTTAGAGCCTGAGTTGGAGTCTGAGTTAGAGTCCGAGTTAGAGTCCGAGTTAGAGTCTGAGTTAGAGTCTGAGTTAGAGTCTGAGTTAGAGTCTGAGTTAGAGCTGAGTTAGAGTCTGAGTTAGAGCTGAGTTAGAGTCCGAGTTAGAGTCTGACTTAGAGTCTGAGTTATGTAGTTTCTTTTATACGGATCAGTCGTCCTGCTTCCTTTGCAGATAAAACAGCCCCAAACCATGATGTTTCCACCCCATGCTTCACAGTAGGTGTTCTGTGGATCCCCCAAACACGAGCTGACCATGTGTCATTTCTCCCAATACCATGTGAAATTATCCCAATACCATGTGTCATTCTCCCAATACCATGTGACAGTCCCCCAATACCATGTGACATTCTCCCAATACCATGTGACATTATCCCAATACCATGTGCAATTCTCCCAAAACCATGTGACATTCTCCCAATACCATGTGACATTCCCCAATACCATGTGACATTCTCCCAATCCTCTTCTTGATCTTCCAAATGCTCTGTAGCTTCAGACGGACATGTCCTGGTTTAAACAGGGTCTGACACTGCAGGGGGTCCCTCGGGTCTAGTGTGTTACTGATGGTACCTGGTGTTACTCTGGTCCCAGCTCTCTGCAGGTCATTCTCTAACGTTAACGTAACTAAACTAAAAGGCAGCAGTCATTATGACTGTTCTATTGAAACAATAAAAGAATGAAGTTTTACTTTCACTTTCACTTTCTTCTGTTCCTGTGTGAATAAGATTTTTATGTTTATGGTGCAAAAGTGAAAGGCTCTGTGTCATCTGTGCACTTACCCTCCCTCAAAGATCTTCACCCTGGGAGGGGTCTGGCCTGGGGTCTGGCCTGGGGTCTGGCCTGGGGTCTGGCCTGGGCTGGGTGCGGTCCCCGTCTTGGGTCTCACGTCCTTGGGCTTCTTCCCGTCGACCTGTGAGTCACCAGGCTCGGGTTTCTGCTGCAGAACACACGTTATCGACAGGACGCAAACAGACCAGAGAGACCAGAGAGACCAGGGACCAGAGAGACCAGAGAGACCAGAGAGGACAGAGAGACCAGGGACCAGAGAGACCAGAAAAACCAGAGAGGACAGAGAGACCAGAGAGACCAGGGACTAGAGAGACCAGAGAAACCAGAGAGGACAGAGAGACCAGAGAGACCAGAGAGACCAGGGACCAGAGAGACCAGGGACCAGAGAGACCAGAGAGACCAGGGACCAGAGAGACCAGAGAGAGCAGAGAGACCAGAGGGAGACCAGAGACCAGAGAGACCAGGGACCAGAGAGACCAGAGAGACCAGGGACCAGAGAGACCAGAGAGAGCAGAGGGAGACCAGAGACCAGAGAGACCAGGGACCAGAGAGACCAGAGAGACCAGGGACCAGAGAGACCAGAGAGACCAGGGACCAGAGAGACCAGGGACCAGAGAGACCAGGGACCAGAGAGACCAGAGAGACCAGAGAGACCAGATAGACCAGTGACCAGAGAGACCAGGAACCCGAGAGACCAGAGAGACCAGGGACCAGAGAGACCAGAGAGACCAGAGACACCAGAGAGACCGGGACCAGAGAGAACAGGGACCAGAGAGACCAGAGAGAGACCAGAGAGACCAGTGACCAGAGAGACCAGGAACCCGAGAGACCAGAGAGACCAGGGACCAGAGAGACCAGAGACACCAGAGAGACCAGGGACCAGAGAGAACAGGGACCAGAGAGACCAGAGAGAGACCAGAGAGAGACCAGAGAGACCAGAGAGAGACCAGAGAGAGACCAGAGAGACCAGGGACCAGAGAGAGACCAGAGGGACCAGAGAGGTGTGTGTCTTACCTCCTGTGCTCTCCACACCAGCAGAGACGACACCACCTTCCCCGCTCCGGTCTCACTCATCTGGGCGGCGGTGTAGAGAACCTCGCCGCTGCGATGTCTGGAGCGCAGCAGCGCAAGTGCAACGCCGGTGCTGAGCTCCAGCGGGTTGGGGTTCTGCGCGCTCACGCACCACACGCCGTACACAGACTGCAGGGGGCGCCCTTCGCAGCTGCTTGGTTTGGTGAAGTTCAGGAAGCACCAGCTCACGGCCGTCGTGGTGCGCAGACTGGGGAACCGCCGCGCGACCGGCACCTTGTCTCCCGCACGTGCCTGTTCTCCCTCGTCTTCTTTGTCTCCTTTGTCTCCCTCATCTCCTTCGTCTCCCCCTTCTCTCTCGTCGTCCACTTCTCTCTTGTCGTCCCCTTCTCCCTCGTCTCCCCCGCACGCCTCTCTTCCTGCGTGCGCAGCGCTCACGTCCATGGGCTCCTCGCTGCTGTTGCCGAGCTCCACGGCGCTCAGTTCATCTGCAATCTGTCCAAACATGCGCTCCTCCTTCACGCGCTTCTGCTGCTTCACCTCCAGGACCAGGTCCAGGCTGCTGGCCGGGGACAGCATGCGCTTGTTGGCACCGCTGGAGGCGTTGGTGGTGGAGATGGTGCGCGACGTCAGCGACAGAGGGATTCCTGTCTTCAGTTTTGCCGAGGACAAGTCCAGAGCCTCCAGCGTCTGCTCCGTGCTCCGCTGAGGATCCTGAGTGTTTGGGGAAAAGAGGCCGAGGGCCTCGCTGTGATGGTCGAACACCTGCGACACTGTGGTGTAGGTCAGGCTGCTGAGCGCCGGCACGTTGGTCTGGATGCGCACTGGGACCAGCAGACTGGGGTGCGGCAGCTGCGGGAAAACACCCGTGGAGAATATGGGGAAACTGCGCGTCAGAAGGTGCGCCACGGTGGACTCTGTGTTCACAGGCTCCTGCCTCACGAAGCTCCGCTTCTCGTAGTCGAGTCTCAGTCGCGGACTCGGGTCCAGATTGCCGCAGTCGAAGGACACGCTGCGGACCTCGGGCAGCTCTCTGCGCTGGTGACACGGCGCCTGCTCCGACGCTGAGCGCCGCATCTCGTTCTGTTGTCGCTGATGCAGTAACGACAGAGTGCCGCTGTTCGGCACGGACAGCAGCTCCTTCCCACAGTCGTCCTGCGCCCGGCCGCCGTCCTCGCGCTCGCAGGAGAACGAGGAGCTGTAGGTGGAGCTGTAAGACAGGTTGCTGTCCTGGCTCGGGCTGCGGGACAGAGAGGTGCATGCCGACTCGAAGCTGGACTCTCCGGACGAGTGCTCCATCTCCGCCAGGCGGAGCCTCTTCTTCTTTGGGGGCAGTTTCTCTGGAGGGAACTGAGCTAATGTCTCGCTGCGCTGAGGCCACTGGAACTCCTCCACCACCTGCTTCTCTGGTTCTTTGGCGGGGGTTTCCGGAGCCTTCTCTGGACTGTCTGGTTCCACGGTCACCCGGATCTCTGGGACCTGGATGTTGGGTTGGCGGACGAGCTTGGGCCCCATCTGTATAGACTGTCGCAGTTTGCCGTCACCTCTCTCCATCTCGTGGCCGTCGCTGGCCTCCAGAGCGAGATAGTACGGGCTGCTGTGATAGGTCAGTTCCATGTGGCCGCGGCTCAGGGAGTTGGTGTGTTGTATCACGGAGATGACGTTGCCAAGAGTCTTTCTCGTTGATATTTCTGCACTGACAGTTACGTCCATCTCACACACAGATCCTTGGCCCTTGCTCTCGTACCGACCCTGCGACTCTTCCTCCTTCTCCTTGCGGCGTTTGCGCGTGGCGAGCTCCAGCGCCTGTCGGTGGTAGCTGGTGTGCGGCGGTGTGGATGGGTAGTTCTCCATCTCCGTCACTTCGCTGAGTTTCCCGTGAGCTTCGTCTGCATGTGTGTCGTGGGACAGTTCGAAGGCCGCTTGCCTGCGTAGCCTCCGGGCGCCTCCTGAGCTCGTGCGCTCGTCAAAGGAGTGGCTGCCTCTCAGCGCGGGCGCCGTCTGCGCCGCGGTGGTGCACGACGTGGGCATGGAGTTGCTCCTCATCAGCAACAGCCCCAGGTCTGCGTCCGGCTGTAGCTCTTCTTCTCCCATGAAGGTGTTGATCCTAATGGACTCCGCTCCGTCCTTCTCCTGCGTATAAACCCGCGACACGCTTCTCTCCGAGCCCTCGCTCCCAAACCCCTGCTTGGGACTCGGCCTGTAGCACTTCCCAAACATGATTTCTTGATATGACTTAGCGTTAGCGTTGGGCGGGCCCGGCTGGTGCTCCGAGCTCTCCGAGCGAGAGAAGTATCCGGAGTCCGTGCTGCCTTTGCTGGACTGACTCGGGAGTGACAGGTTGTGCTCAGAGTCGCTGCTGCGCTTCTCCGACAGCCGCAGCGCTAACCTCTGCTTGACGGCGCTGGAGGGGAGATGCTCCTGCTGCTCCTGCTGCTCCTGCACGGCCAAAGGAGCCATCGTCGTTCCCCTCTTGTGCGAGATGAGGCTAAGGACTTTGACGGCCGTGTGGGCAGAGCCCGTGGCGTCCAGCAGCAGCAGAGGGTCACTCGGCGCCTCGTCCTCAGAGTCCGAGGTCTGGTCTCCATCTGAGAAGTCTCCTTCGAACGAGCCGTGCTCCGAGCCGGTCCCCGCCACGGCCCCCGCCTTCGCCAGGTGAGCGTGTGACTTGCGGTGTTTGTACAGATTGCTTTTGGTCTTGAAGGAGAAGCCGCAGGGGGCGCAGGGGTACGGGCGCTCCCCCGTGTGCGAGCGGATGTGCTTCTTCAGGACACTGGGCTTCGCGCACGCCCTGCCGCAGTAATCGCACACGTACCTGCCTGGTTTAGGCGGTCTCTGCTCTGGTCTCTGCTCTGGTCTCTGCTCTGGTCTCTGCTCTGGTCTCTGCTCTGGTCTCTGCTCTGGTCTCTGCTCTGGTCTCTGCTCTGGTCTCTGCTCTGGTCTCTGCTCTGGTCTCTGCTCTGGTCTCTGCTCTGGTCTCTGCTCTGGTCTCTGCTCTGGTCTCTGCTCTGGTCTCTGCTCTGGTCTCTGCTCTGGTCTCTGCTCTGGTCTCTGCTCTGGTCTCTGCTCTGGTCTCTGCTCTGTCTCTGCTCTGGTTCCAGACCTGGGCTGGGACTCGGGGTTTGGACCTCCTCATCCTTCTTGTCTGTGCTCTGGTTTTCATGGAGATGTCTAGACTTGGACTTTTTGGGAGGTAGATTTCTGCCTGGTACCTCTCTAGCGGTGGTGGCGGTGGCGGCGGTGGTGGCGGTGGCGGCGGTGGCGGCGGTGGCGGCGGTAGGAGCGTGGGTCTCAGGAGAATGCATGGCTCTAAGGTGGCGTTTCGAGGACGGTCTTGTTACGTGACAAAGATGTTGACTCTGGTGTGGACTGACGTCACTGAAGGGTCTGGAAACAAGAGAGAGACCTGAGGATCCAATCACAGCAGAGGACTCTACTCTACTCTACTCTACTTACTTGGTAACCACTAAAGCAGGTCTAAAGCAGGACTAAAGCAGGACTAAAGCAGGACTAAAGCAGGACTAAATCAGGACTAAAGCAGGACTAAAGCAGGACTAAAGCAGGACTAAAGCAGGACTAAATCAGGACTAAAGCAGGACTAAAGCAGGACTAAAGCAGGACTAAAGCAGGTCTAAATCAGGTCTAAAGCAGGACTAAAGCAGGACTAAAGCAGGTCTAAAGCAGGTCTAAAGCAGGACTAAAGCAGGTCTAAAGCAGGACTAAAGCAGGACTAAAGCAGGTCTAAAGCAGGACTAAAGCAGGTCTAAAGCAGGACTAGAGCAGGCCTAAAGCAGGTCTAAAGCAGGTCTAAAGCAGGTTTAAAGCAGGACTAAAGCAGGTTTAAAGCAGGACTAAAGCAGGTTTAAAGCAGGACTAAAGCAGGTTTAAAGCAGGACTAAAGCAGGTTTAAAGCAGGACTAAAGCAGGACTAAAGCAGGTCTAAAGCAGGACTAAAGCAGGACTAAAGCAGGACTAAAGCAGGACTAAAGCAGGACTAAAGCAGGTCTAAAGCAGGTTTAAAGCAGAACTAAAGCAGGTTTAAAGCAGGACTAAAGCAGGTTTAAAGCAGGACTAAAGCAGGTCTAAAGCAGGACTAAAGCAGATCTAAAGAAGGACTAAAGCAGGACTAAAGCAGGTCTAAAGCAGGACTAAAGCAGGTTTAAAGCAGGACTAAAGCATGTTTAAAGCAGGACTAAAACAGGACTAAAGCAGGACTAAAGCAGGTTTAAAGCAGGTTTAAAGCAGGACTAAAAGCAGGTTTAAAGCAGGACTAAAGCAGGTTTAAAGCAGGACTAAAGCAGGACTAAAGCAGGACTAAAGCAGGTTTAAAGCAGGTTTAAAGCAGGACTAAAGCAGGTTTAAAGCAGGACTAAAGCAGGTTTAAAGCAGGACTAAAGCAGGTTTAAAGCAGGACTAAAGCAGATCTAAAGCAGGACTAAAGCAGGACTAAAGCAGGTTTAAAGCAGGACTAAAGCAGGTTTAAAGCAGGACTAAAGCAGGTTTAAAGCAGGACTAAAACGGACTAAAGCAGGACTAAAGCAGGTTTAAAGCAGGTTTAAAGCAGGACTAAAGCAGGTTTAAAGCAGGACTAAAGCAGGTTAAAGCAGGTAAAGCAGACTAAAGCAGGACTAAAGCAGGTTTAAAGCAGGACTAAAGCAGGTTTAAAGCAGGACTAAAACAGACTAAAGCAGGACTAAAGCAGGTTAAAGCGGACTAAAGCAGGTTAAAGCAGGACTAAAGCAGGAGCAGACTAAAGCAGGTCTAAAGCAGGACTAAAGCAGATCTAAAGCAGACTAAAGCAGGACTAAAAGCAGGACTAAAGCAGGACTAAAGCAGGTTTAAAGCAGACTAAAGCAGGACTAAAGCAGGTTTAAAGCAGGTTTAAAGCAGGACTAAAGCAGGTTTAAAGCAGGACTAAAGCAGGTTTAAAGCAGGACTAAAGCAGGTCTAAAGCAGGACTAAAGCAGATCTAAAGCAGGACAAAGCAGGACTAAGCAGGAGCAGGTTAAAGCAGGACTAAAGCAGGTTTAAAGCAGGACTAAAGCAGGTTTAAAGCAGGACAAGCAGGTTTAAAGCAGGACTAAAGCAGATCTAAAGCAGACTAAAGGACTAAAGCAGGTTTAAAGCAGGACTAAAGCAGGTTTAAAGCAGGACTAAAGCAGGTTTAAAGCAGGACTAAAGACAGGTTTAAAGCAGGTTAAAGCAGGACTAAAGCAGGACTAAAGCAGGTTTAAAGCAGGACTAAAGCAGGTCTAAAGCAGGACTAAAGCAGATCTAAAGCAGGACTAAAGCAGGACTAAAGCAGGTCTAAAGCAGGACTAAAGCAGGACTAAAGCAGGTCTAAAGCAGGTCTAAAGCAGGTCTAAAGCAGGACTAAAGCAGGACTAAAGCAGGTTTAAAGCAGGTTTAAAGCAGGACTAAAGCAGGTCTAAAGCAGGTCTAAAGCAGGACTAAAGCAGGACTAAAGCAGGACTAAAGCAGGTTTAAAGCAGGACTAAAGCAGGTTTAAAGCAGGTTTAAAGCAGGTCTAAAGCAGGACTAAAGCAGGACTAAAGCAGGTCTAAAGCAGGTCTAAAGCAGGTCTAAAGCAGGTCTAAAGCAGGACTAAAGCAGGACTAAAGCAGGTCTAAAGCAGGACTAAAGCAGGTCTAAAGCAGGACTAAAGCAGGACTAAAGCAGGTCTAAAGCAGGACTAGAGCAGGTCTAAAGCAGGTCTAAAGCAGGACTAAAGCAGGTCTAAAGCAGGACTAAAGCAGGTCTAAAGCAGGACTAAAGCAGGTCTAAAGCAGGACTAAAGCAGGTCTAAAGCAGGTCTAAAGCAGGACTAAAGCAGGACTAAAGCAGGTCTAAAGCAGGACTAAAGCAGGTCTAAAGCAGGACTAAAGCAGGACTAAAGCAGGACTAAAGCAGGTCTAAAGCAGGACTAAAGCAGGTCTAAAGCAGGACTAAAGCAGGTCTAAAGCAGGACTAAAGCAGGACTAAAGCAGGACTAAAGCAGGTCTAAAGCAGGTCTAAAGCAGGACTAAAGCAGGTTTAAAGCAGGACTAAAGCAGGTTTAAAGCAGGTCTAAAGCAGGACTAAAGCAGGTCTAAAGCAGGACTAAAGCAGGTTTAAAGCAGGACTAAAGCAGGTTTAAAGCAGGACTAAAGCAGGTTTAAAGCAGGTTTAAAGCAGGTCTAAAGCAGGACTAAAGCAGGACTAAAGCAGGTCTAAAGCAGGATTAAAGCAGGTCTAAAGCAGGTCTAAAGCAGGACTAAAGCAGGACTAAAGCAGGTCTAAAGCAGGACTAAAGCAGGTCTAAAGCAGGACTAAAGCAGGACTAAAGCAGGTCTAAAGCAGGACTAAAGCAGGACTAAAGCAGGTCTAAAGCAGGTCTAAAGCAGGTCTAAAGCAGGACTAAAGCAGGACTAAAGCAGGTCTAAAGCAGGTCTAAAGCAGGACTAAAGCAGGACTAAAGCAGGTCTAAAGCAGGACTAAAGCAGGACTAAAGCAGGTCTAAAGCAGGACTAAAGCAGGACTAAAGCAGGTCTAAAGCAGGACTAAAGCAGGACTAAAGCAGGTCTAAAGCAGGACTAAAGCAGGTCTAAAGCAGGACTAAAGCAGGGCTAAAGCAGGTCTAAAGCAGGACTAAAGCAGGTCTAAAGCAGGACTAAAGCAGGTCTAAAGCAGGTCTAAAGCAGGACTAAAGCAGGTTTAAAGCAGGACTAAAGCAGGTTTAAAGCAGGACTAAAGCAGGTTTAAAGCAGGACTAAAGCAGGTCTAAAGCAGGTCTAAAGCAGGACTAAAGCAGGTTTAAAGCAGGACTAAAGCAGGTTTAAAGCAGGACTAAAGCAGGACTAAAGCAGGACTAAAGCAGGTTTAAAGCAGGACTAAAGCAGGTTTAAAGCAGGACTAAAGCAGGTTTAAAGCAGGACTAAAGCAGGACTAAAGCAGGACTAAAGCAGGTTTAAAGCAGGTTTAAAGCAGGACTAAAGCAGGTTTAAAGCAGGACTAAAGCAGGTTTAAAGCAGGTCTAAAGCAGGACTAAAGCAGGTCTAAAGCAGGTCTAAAGCAGGACTAAAGCAGGACTAAAGCAGGTTTAAAGCAGGACTAAAGCAGGTCTAAAGCAGGACTAAAGCAGGTCTAAAGCAGGACTAAAGCAGGTCTAAAGCAGGACTAAAGCAGGACTAAAGCAGGTCTAAAGCAGGATTAAAGCAGGTCTAAAGCAGGTCTAAAGCAGGACTAAAGCAGGACTAAAGCAGGTCTAAAGCAGGACTAAAGCAGGTCTAAAGCAGGACTAAAGCAGGACTAAAGCAGGTCTAAAGCAGGACTAAAGCAGGACTAAAGCAGGTCTAAAGCAGGTCTAAAGCAGGTCTAAAGCAGGACTAAAGCAGGACTAAAGCAGGTCTAAAGCAGGTCTAAAGCAGGACTAAAGCAGGACTAAAGCAGGTCTAAAGCAGGACTAAAGCAGGACTAAAGCAGGTCTAAAGCAGGACTAAAGCAGGTCTAAAGCAGGTCTAAAGCAGGACTAAAGCAGGACTAAAGCAGGACTAAAGCAGGACTAAAGCAGGTCTAAAGCAGGACTAAAGCAGGTCTAAAGCAGGACTAAAGCAGGACTAAAGCAGGACTAAAGCAGGACTAAAGCAGGACTAAAGCAGGACTAAAGCAGGTCTAAAGCAGGACTAAAGCAGGACTAAAGCAGGTTTAAAGCAGGACTAAAGCAGGTCTAAAGCAGGTCTAAAGCAGGACTAAAGCAGGACTAAAGCAGGACTAAAGCAGGACTAAAGCAGGACTAAAGCAGGACTAAAGCAGGACTAAAGCAGGACTAAAGCAGGACTAAAGCAGGTCTAAAGCAGGACTAAAGCAGGTCTAAAGCAGGACTAAAGCGGCACGGTGGCTGAGTGGATAGCACTCTCGCCTCTCAGCAAGAAGGTCCTGGGTTCGAATCCCGGCCGGACCAGGGCCTTTCTGAGTGGAGTTTGCATGTTCTCCCCGTGTCTGCGTAGGTTTCCTCCAGGTACTCCGGTTTCCCCTACCACTAAAAATATGTACAATAGTTCTGGCATGCGCCTCCTGTTCGGCGACCCCGCTCCCATCTCTGTGTGGAGTGAGAGACAAATGCCTAAAAAATAACAATTGTAAACCGCTTTGTGACTCTGGTCTGTGAAAGGCGGTATATAAATAAAGCTTACTTACTTACTTACTAAAGCAGGACTAAAGCAGGTCTAAAGCAGGACTAAAGCAGGTCTAAAGCAGGACTAGAGCAGGTCTAAAGCAGGTCTAAAGCAGGTCTAAAGCAGGACTAAAGCAGGTCTAAAGCAGGACT